CACCTAACCAACACAATACAAAGGCCTAACTAAAAGGCAGTACTGTATTGTGATCCCTTCTAAAAGGAGCACACCACTTGGCACTTTTGGGACGGGAAGAGAATTACTGCACAGCCTTGGGGGCACTGCTGTGAATGCCCCACTTCAAGCCTTGGGGACAGACGCGAGTCATGGGACAGCCCTAGCTTAAAGCTGTCTCTGAGTGAAGTCCCATGTAGAGGACATCACTGCAGTCAAGTCTGGAGGTTACCGAAGGAGGAATCAGTACGAACAGATCCCTCCTGCCCAGGATAAAAGGAGAGTCTGCACAACATAATCGAAACAGATTATGCTCAGCGCAACCACAGCCATCGGCTTATCAAAAATCTAAGCCAGGTCGAAAGCACACCCAGGATCCCTGTTCAGACAGGGTAACAGTAACCCCACCAAAACCAGGAAATGCAAACCACCTGAAGGCCCAAGCATCATGCTCTCCCAATGTGGATTCAGCCTTGGCCTATTCTTCTTCATCTATGTGACCTCTACTGCCAAAGAATGGTTCAAATGACCCCCCCTTGAATATCTGGAAAAACATCTCAAGTTGAAAACCACCAGCACGGTAGATGAAATTACATTCCAAAGCCAGAGATAATTTGTAAGGGCGCCTTCGTGTAGTTGTTGAATAGCTGAGCCCTGTGGATTACCACAATCGAGCCCCCCGAATAACAGTTGTCTAATGACTAGTACTATGTCTGTCCAGACAGAGAAGAGTGTATGGAGAATGTTACATCATATTTAAAGACACCAATTTATTTATGCTTTTTAAAAATCTGTCATTCATGATCTAAGCAAAGTTATATCAGGCTGCAAGTGCAACTTCTATGATTCTCCTTTATGCCTCCTTAAAGTTCCCAACTCCCAGAGCACACTCAGTCGCAACCGCATTGAGGAATCTCCCTCTCCTGGCCAAGATCACAGGCTTTCTAAAAACTGAAATGAAAGTAACCAGTTTGGCCAGCAGAGTTAAGAGAAGGGAAATCCCCTTCCCTTCAAACTGCACACTTTTGCATGAATTAACAGGAAGGACAGGAAAGATGAAGGCAGGCCACATCAGCTAGCCTTCCAGAATGAGCAAAGTTTATTCCACGGTAACAGACACATTTCTACAACATCCATTATGGCAAGGTGGGGCCATCAATGAAGAAAAGGAGATGCATGTTGTTAAGTCCTGGACCTCTCGTTTTGCATTAAACAAGCATTCACCAAACAGCTCAAAGCAGAAGGATTAGTTGGACATCAGGGAGATAGAAAAAGTAGAAAATAACAAATGCCACAGGAATATCTCCCCAGGGTTGAATATGTTCAGGACAAAGCACTCACGAGATTACGAGGCATTGGCAAAGTTTTACGTGGCAAACTGGATACATGCACCCATTGGTAAATTTGAGCCAACACAATGGGTTATGTAGGAGTTCCAGCCCTTCTCTACAGAGTAACGTGTGAAAAAGAGAAGGCCAAGAACGAAAAAGGGTAATGAGATTAGGAAAAATACTGGGCCGAATGATTTCTTTGCTAGCCAAACGGTTTTCCCTGTGCTCACACAAGTCCTCGTCAACATCTCCATTAGCCAGTTCCACGGTAAGCTGCGATGTAAGAATTCCTGATCAAGTCCCTATGTCGATCTCACACAAAAGTATATTCAAATTTTGGTGATTTAACAGTGCCGTTCTAAGCAGGTCTCCTTGGGTCTATTCAGCCGGGCTTCCTCCCAAGAAAGTGTTCTTATTCCGTAAGACATCTAAGGTTCTCCACTGGAGAACAGAACATGCCAAGAGAAGTTATTTTCACAATAGCCGACTATTACAAGGGAACATTCCCAGATTAATTTAAGGAGTGACTACTGGTCTGGGGACACATATTTCTCCTGACTGCCATCTGTCAATTTACTATGAAGATGTTTCAAATTATAGTGCAAAGAGAAAGGTTATGTTAAATCTGGTCTTCAGGCGATGCTATCTGTAGTAAGCCAGTTCCTGTATTTCTATAAAGAACAGGACTTTTTTTTTTAATTACAGCAAGTATGCAGAGAAAGATAAAGCAGAATTGAATCCCAGCTCCTTCTCCGATTTCTTATTTATGGAGAGGCTCAAGGTCTGAGTCTACTTATTTTAAAGGCCCCTGAAAGAACAGGGGTTATGACAGGTCGCGGGTCAGGGCCCAGCTAAGTCATCTTGGCAGGCCAGAGGAGTGCAAATGAGAGCAAACAAAACTTAACTGCCAAGAGCAGGGAATGCAAAGATCAAGTTATCATTGCACAGCAACTGCTGCTCGGTATTCATTCATCCCACTATACAGGAGCTGGACTTTTGTAATGGTTCTGCTCTAAAAGGCAGCATGTTATCTGTTCAGCACCCTTGTCCGATCCCAACAAGGGCCCCTCTCCTGTCAGCTTGGGAGGGAAAGGGTGACTTGTAAACTGACCTCGAATGTGTCCTCCTACATCGGGTATGCCAAACTCAAGGTTCCAGGTAACACACAGAGGAGGGGCTCGATGCAAACTCATCTGGCTGGTTGCTACAAGGTGAGTGAGCTCAAAAACAAAAACAAAAACAAAACAAAAAACCACACAGATCCCGCAAAGCAGCCCAACTGGGCTATAGCGACACACATGCACAAACTGCTCCTGATACACTGCAGAAGGTTCTGACAAAAGCTCAGTGAAGATATCCAGAATTACAACCAGTGTTCCCTCTAAGCTGAGTTAGTGTGAGCTAGCTCACAGTTTTTTAGCCTCCAGCTCACACATTTTTTTTGTATTAGCTCAGGAAGGATGGCTCCAGAGCAAACTAATTTATGCAGTAGCCAAATTGCTCACTCACAACTTTAATGCCAGTAGCTCACAAAGTAGAATTTTTGCTCACAAGACTCCACAGCTTAGAGGGAGCATTGATTACAACCATTTGCATGATACTGAATTATGAGGCAGGGTACATCCTTTGGATGCAGAAGGTCCCGATCCTTCAGTCTCTGCCATTTCCAGTTAAAGGATCTGGCATTTGTTGAGAAGAACCAGTTCCACCTCAGTTCCTGGAGAGTTGCTGTCAGACAGAACAAACAACAGAGTAGATGGACCAATGGTCAGATTAGCTATAAGGCGACATCCTAGTTTCATTTTATTAAGGGCTGTCCAGTCTAGCTTCAGGCCTTACATGCTTCCTTCAACATAGATACCAAACACCAATGTCAGGTCATATTCTGCATACCCACATTATCCCCTGGACAAACTGAACAGGGGGCTATAAGGGCCCTATGATAATGGTAACACAACTGCTTAAAAGGGCAGGGGTCCAAAAATGCTGGCCTGGCTTACTTTGACAGACATTTTAAGTCACTGTCAATCCTCTCCCCTTCCATGGGTGCCCAGAACTTGGGGAGAGTGATGGGATCTCCTCTGATCTGCACAGGGCTACGGAGAAGGTAAGAAACAGCAGAAGTCTATCAGTTCAAATGCGAGCTCCAGGGAAGGGAATCTGCTTGCAGCTGAGTATCCTGCACCCTCCAGGGACAGAGGCACATCTCTAGCAAGCCAGTGAACAGATTTGTGAATGCTCGTAAAAGGTATGCAGTTTCTGTTGGTGATTAGCCTAGCCAAGAGCATTATGAAACATCTGAAGTTTAAAAGAAGCTTTCCATTTATTAAGAAGAAAATAAGATTGGCATCTAAAAATAATGTAGAGACCTTTCCCTAATATAATTGCAGATTTGACTTTTCCTCTGCTCCTTCCCAATCCGCTGAAGCATCATACTGCCAAAAGATGATGGTACAACTTCATCTGGAGAAAATTCCTGTTTTCTCACTAATTTTACAATGGCAAATCCCCTTACTCAAGGAAAAGAGATTAGCAGTACACTGAAAACCACTCCAAACAGCAAAAACAGATAATGTAAAACTGAACAGGACTGGGATTAAGCAAAACATTTTATTCTATGTATCTCTAATATCATTTTCATTCTAGCACACAAAGCTTCTATTTAACACTAGATTATGCTCAACTGTATTAGTTTCACTTTAGGCAGATTCCCCCCTCCCCCGATCCACAAAAACTCTCACACCTGTTGCATCTCACACAAGGATATCTCCCCTATCCAGATACCATTAAAAGGAAACAACAAACTGATCAAAAGCTGGGAATTACTTTACAGAAATCGGTTCCTTGATTTCCCAACAGGGTTTGTACTCTACATACATACAGAGGCCAAGCTACTGAATACTGAAGAGTGGCTTAAACTTACATAACATTTACAGAAATTTTCCGCCACTGACTGTTGACATGAAGGCAAATGGTTTAGTTTTAATTACACAATAAAATTCTCCCCAAATACAGTTTTCTCACTTGGAAAATTGCTGGTGGTCTCCAAGGATCACACTGCACACCAAAACCCAAGTAAATATCATAGGGTCGAAGGAACAAACCAAAATAAATCCAGATGAAGACCAAGAGGTTCAGGGTGGGCCAGAGTTCCAAGACTTCTCCGTCAATTCACAATACAGTTATGCATGTCCTTCTAATTAATGATTTGGTGTGTGTGTGGGGGGGTAAACTCAGAAGAAACGTAGTTGGCAGACTGGATCTCTCCCCATCTTCCCCCTCCCCAAGCAGCCTACCCCATGTTCTGGAACTCCTCTCTGATGGTCAAGAGAACCTTGCAAGCCAAATGCATCACAGGATGTGGTACTACAGTAATGAGGTAAAATTGCCTCCTAACCTCTCCTCTGCTGATAGAAGCCAACAGTGGAAGAGGAGGGAGGGGACTTGCTTTTTGCTTGTGAGACTCTCCCTGATTCTTAAAGAGGAGTTTTGGGACAAACAGCAGGCTGCCTGGGAAAGGAGAAAGTGGAGAAGATCTACTCTGCGAACTTCTTGGGAGAGCTTTACAGCTGCACCCAGCTTATAGCCTTCCCTTCTTTTGCCATTCCCCAAGACACAGGGGTCCCAAAGTTTAACCAGAATTATACTCACTACTGTGCACAGTCGATCAACTGATATTCGTTGGATCTCTCGTAGCAGGCTTTCACACCTTCATCTTGCCAAAGTGTTTTTGTATGTTCATAAAAGTCCTGAAAGCAAATAAAGGGAGGCAACAACTCAGCAGGGAACATTCACCAGTAATGAAAAACAACAACCCCCCCCCAACTTGCTTTTACTCAAAATGAGCAACTACTATCCAAATAAACACGGACGTGCAGCATTAGAATGATAAAGAGTTTCCTGCAAGAAGCACCACCTCTTGATTCCCTGTTATTTATACTTGGCAGATAGATCACAGTAGAAAGCATAAGTAGTACTGTAATATCCCCACAAATAAAGTCTCAGAAACTAAAGCATGCACACTGGTTCCACCGACAGAGGAATGTGCATTTTCAGCTACTTTATGTATCTGCTAATATTTCTGCAATGGATACAAAAGCAGCTTTTTTATAACTAAGAATGGGCAGTAACCCTGCCGCCCATGTGTGGAAGGCCCACAGAGCTCCCCCTGTGTTCCTCCCCTTTCCTGCACCACCCCACATTGATCAGCAATGTGTTTTCAAATAAACTGCTAGAGGCTTTCCCTTCACAAGCAATCAACCCTGGCGTTCAACAGAATCTGCATAAGGTTCCAGATTCTGCATTATATTTCTCCTGCAGAGAAGCATAGAAGAAAAGCACCTTCCCCTAAGCCCGAATGGTACTTCTCCATCTCGTTCAGAGAAACCCTAATTTTCATTCAAATGAAGAAGAAGAAAAAAAAGCTAGTTGTATCCCAGGACTTAAAAGCCACTTTCAAGACTTAATGGAAGAAAAAAAAAAGTTTCATTATTCTTGGTGGTTGCACATTTTCAAAATGCAGAATAACCTGTAGTACCAATCACTTGTGAACCACATACAAATAAGGAAAATCCTTTTAAAAAGAGAGAGAACGGTGAGAACAGAGAGAAGGGACTGCTGAACTTCTTAAACATTCAAAAGAATTTATTTCTTAAAATATCAGTCATTTGTGTTGTCTTCTTTTGGAATCCTGGTGAATAAAGTACTGGATTTTCAGGTTCCATGATGATGATCTCGGAACGGACTCCAAGAAAAAATATCATTGAGTTGCATGAGTCTTCTAACGCCTTGCTGTCTGTATCCCCTAAGCAAAGGATCTGAGGAACTCAACTTTTAGCAACACCGCTATTCAAATTAGTTGTGCTCTCTCCGTGCCCCAGAGCAAACACAATGATAAGCCACAATCAGAAGATCAGTTCTGCACCTCTCCCTTTTCCCTATTTGCAAATTCCCCCTTTCCTTTCCTTGTTGGCCTTAACTACACCTCAGTGTAACAGTCTATACCAACATTAACGACCATCAACACTAGCCTGGTTCACCCTTAACCAGGATTTTTACATTTTCCACTCAAAGACGGCAACATTAAATGTAGGCTTGCATGTACTGCAATCTACCGCAGATAGTGTACCAGAGAAACTTGCCGTGATACCAAAGCCCTTTCAGCAGGGCAGTTCACGTGAACTGTTACCTGCCAAGTACACAGGGTAACCAGCTGGTGTGCATCATTTGTGAATCAGTTCACAAACCCACCACAAATCTGTAATACTGGGATCAAGAATGAAATTACCTATTTTTATTATTTTACTATTTTTAAAGATACGTTCATAAACACATGAAACACTGAGGCACTATCAATGCAAATGAGTTCTCTCTTTGTACTCTTTGGTAGAAGACAATCAGCATAATTAACTAACAGTATGAATGCCTATTTTTTTAAATGCTACAACGAGCGTTTTATGGAACAGTAGCTCCACCCTGTTGGTAGTAAGCACAAAAGTCCTGAGTGATAAGTTTTTCTAATGAATTTGGAACAAATGGGTATGGCCATGACTTTTTTTTTTTTGCTGTCAAGACACAGCGATTTATGACGACCCTGTGGGGTTTTCAAGGCAAGAGACATTCAGAGGTGACTTGTCATTGCCTGCATCTGAGTCATGACCCTGGTATTCCTTGGTGGTTCCCTTCCAAATACTGACCAGGATCCACCCTACTTAGTATCGAAGGTTGGGTAAGATTGGGCTGCCCAGGGCTATCCAGGTCATGGTGACTATGGTTACATGCCACAGTAAATGAACATGCTTTTTCTCACAGATGAAATCTAAACTCATTTGTTTTCAGGAGAAAGAGCACCCTATACTTCCACGACTTTCCCAAAGACTACTGATATAAAAACTGCTTAGCTTGACTAAAAATCAGCAATAGAGATAATCCAAATCATTAACAAAAAAACAACATTAGTGCTGCATTCAAAAAGGGACAACATCTTCATAGGTGGTCTCATAGATGACGGCTTCCTGTGAAAATGAGTTAAAAAAACCCGTGCAAATTAGTGATGTACGCTGGAGATGCATATTTGTCTGTACCGAGTGAAAAAAAGAAACTGCCACAGAATTGGGGAGAAAAAAGAATGTTTTAGAACAATGAACCTCTGTTGGATCAACCCAAGATGAGAACTTTATGTTCCAAATGCTTTTTAATCTTCCTTCCTCCAACTCCTTTTCACGGTCTATCCTCTTTGCCACCAAGTAACTCTCTACTACATCAAGAGTACCGTGAAATGCCAAAATATCTGAAGTACTATGGAATTTCCCTGCCACCACAGGGCTAATTCTCACAATCAGCTGACAAAGCAATAAATGCATGCCTAAACTGTATCGAGTTCAGATAGTTCTCATGATGGAATGCTACCCCATGGGGAGGGCAGAGTCTCCTGTACACAGAAAAGGCTAGTCTGTCTGGGGAAGACCATCTGTGCTGATGGGCAATGGAAAAGAAATGCGTAACAAACTGGACTGTATGAAACAGGATATAAACAGGGACAATGAGTTTTTAAAAAATAACTATGCACCATTTATTTTAATTTTTTATTTTATTTTTTCGATTTATAGCCTGCCCTTCCCACAAGCGGGGTCAGGGTGGCTCACGACAATAAATTCAGTACGATCTTAAAACAATCCAATCAGACAATAAACAACAATATTAAATCAGTACAATAAAACCAATTTAAAACGTTTAAAGTCAGCAGTGAGGTATATTCAATGTCAGTTCCTACAGCCGGGAAATGAGGGGGCCAGCGCCGAGCCATAATGGCCCCATGCAGTAGCGATAGGGAGGCCAGCTGGTAGATACCTGCTGCCTCAAAGGCCTGGTGGTACAGCCCCGTTTGGCAGGACCTGCAAAAGTGCAACAGGTCTCGCAGGTCCCTGATCTCAATTGGAAGCCTGTTCCGCCCGACTGGGGCCAGGGCCAAGAAAGCTCTGGCCTTGGTTGCGGCTAGGTGGGCATCTTTCAGGTTGGGGACGACCAGCAGATGGCTATCCGCAGAGCGTAAGGCTCTTCGGGGCACATACGGGGACAGGCAGTCCCATAGATATTTCTTGCCACTGTAATCTGTAGCAGAAGCTACTGCACCTTTTGATGAAGAAATGTTGAGAGCAAGTAGTCCATGAACAGCCTTGCAGTTGACGGCTATTAACCCTTTTCTTTAAGTAGGCTGCATCTTATGAAAGCTTATGATATATTCTTAGTCAGACTGGAAAATGCTCCTAAATCTCTGTTTTAAATACAGCCTTCTGTCCTCCAAGACTACCAATTTAATAAAAAGTAGGATAGGGAGGGGCCAGGCTCACAGCCACCATGTATTTCATCCACTAAGGAGGGATTTCTATCTGTGCAGATGTGTTCTTAAGCAATGTTTTCTATTGCAAAATGACCAGAATGTGAGGGCAAGGAGATAACCGAGGCTATTCCCAGTCAGCAGAGGAAGGTTTTTATCTTGATCAGGGCATTCTACTGGGTCATGATTCATTTCAATGAATGAACGTAATCAGCACGAAGACCACAGCCAAAGAGACTACAACTTTCCTTAAGGTAGACGACTTCTAACCTGAACTATACCCCGCCAACAGTTATCCTGCTATCTCATTAAAGTGGCCATTAACTTTTCACAGCTGACTGACAAATAATCCAAGTCCACATTCTTTGAACTCTTTGACTGGGATTTAAAAACCGGGGCTGACAATAATACACTGACATTTCGAATTACCGCATTATAGACAACCGTCTGAGATCACGACTTTCAACAGGCAGCCTTCTCCCTTAGCTTAAACTCTACTCCCACAATACAGTTTAAGCACATTGCGTGGGTGCCGCCTACTGCTTCACCAGTGACTTTCTACCACTGCTAAATTAGGTGGAGAGGTCGGGAGTATGTAGGTTTTCCACTACTTGAGTTAAGATTCTTATCCCATAAATTATGTGCGGGTTACAACACAGGCACAAGACACAGAAACCATTCTGCCTCCTTCCATAGATGGTGCAAGGGGTGGAGCCTCGGATGCCCAAAGAATTCCAGCATATCATTCTTATACCTTTGCTGGGCTGAGCCTGCCACGATGCAGCACACCAATCACGCCAGGCTGAAACCCTCACATGCCTTCCTTCCCTGAGAGCATCCTGCAGCCTTCCTCTCCCCGAGCCTGTGCACAACTGGGCTCCCACTGCTGTTGCGAGCAGCCCACAGGCACAGTGCAGAAGTGGCATGGCAAGAGAGTGACAGGCTGCTATAGTGGTTAAGACTGAATCAGACCATTTGTCCACCAGGGTCAGTATTGTCTACTCAGACTGGCAGCGGCTCTCCAGGATTTCAGGCTAAGGACTTTCACATCCCCTCCTCCCACCTGGTCCTTTTACCTGGAGACTGAAACTGGGACCCCCTCTGCATGCAAAGCAGAGGCTCTTCCACTGAGCTACAGTCCCTCCCAGTGGTGGGCTAGGCGCTAGGAGACCCAGGTTCGATTCCCTGCTCTGCTGTGGAAGCTTGCCAGGGGACCTTGGCCAATCACACACACTCAGCCTAACCTAGCTCACAAGGTTGTTACGAGGATAAATGGGAGAGGAGAGGACACTGGGGAGAAAGGCGTGGTATAAATGAAGTAAGTAAAAAGAGAGGAGAAAGTTAAACAGTATTATGGTACTAGTTGACCAAAATCTGGCCACTATTTAATTTTAATTTTTTTAAAAAAATTGG